GCCCATCCTAATCCACAGGGAAATTCCTGATCCACAGGAAACATCCAGTGTGGACTGCCTGTTTTAGGCTGAGACCTGGGGGTCACTCCACCCCCTTGGCTTCTGAGTTGTTCAGACACAGAGAAGCTGCAGCTGAGGCTCAGCTGCTCCCCCTCATTGCTGGGCTTTGCAGCCAAAGGACCAGGGTTTGAGCCTCACCAGCATCATTTATTGCTGCTTAGCATAAAATAGCTGGAGCCAGGTCCTGTGTGTGCACTGCCCCCCTGGACAGCTCCCAGCCAAGCCCACCTAATGACCTTTGGGCTCATTAGTGCTGATTCATTCCTCGTTTGTGCATGGCCATAAAACCCAGTTAGTGTCAGACACCGATTCCTCCAAAAATAGGAATAAGGGCAAACTTCTTTGGGATCTGATGATATCTTTAACAATCAGACAGTGTACCATTAGCAGTGGCATATTTAGCAGTGGATCTTCATTGCAGTGATTTAAAATAGCCCGTCTGAGTCAGCTCCTTGCCCACCTTTCCCACTATAAATTGATACCCACGTCCAGGCTGTCACCTCTCCCATTATCCTGATTCTGATTTCATTTTGACTCACCCCCTCCCATGTCAGCCTGTGTTCCCTTCTCTGGGCTTTCCATCACTAGGAACGTTTGGTTGGGGTTCCAGAGCACACAAACAGCACAGAGTGGGCAGAGCTCAGAGGACAAGCCATGCCCTGGAGCTGCCACCAGTGAGGATCTCTCTCGTGGCTTCCCTTGCTGGTGGGGGTTTGTGCAGCCACATAAAGGGAGATAATAACACAGAAAATGGCTATTAGCAGCACTCAAGTTTTCAGATGATCCCTCTTGCAACAACCAAGTACATCCCTTCAAAGCAAACGTTCCTCTGAGCTTCCCCCAGCACGACCAGGAGCAGCCCGGGCTGATTTATGAGTTAGTCAGCGTGTCAGATTTGTGTAATGAGATTATACATTCAATCTAATGAAGGAAAAATATGCTTACCAGCCCAGTGTGACAGCACTGTGATTAAATGATTGGGGAGCAGTGTTCCCTGGGTGGATTAATCTGAGGGATGCAGCAGGTACAGCCGACCTGCTTCCCGTGTCTGCAGCGCTGGGCTGGGAGATGGATGGGGGCTGATTGTGTTGGTGAAACAGGGAAGGGATCATAAAGGGGATGTTTGTATCCACCAGACTGGCCTTTGTTCTGTGTTAAACTCCCACGGTGATTTAGTGCTGCTTGTTTGAGTCCTGGGGAGGAAAGGAAAATAAAAGGAACAATGATTCTGCCCTTTAATGCATCCCTGGAACTGGGGCACTGCCCTGCCCATCTCACCCAGCCCAGCTGTAACACTAAGCAAGACTTCTCCAGCTTGAGTTTTTAGGAGCAGGAGTGTCCTGCTAGGTCTGAGAGGGAGGTAAGGAGGTGTTTGCTGCTTTTCCAGCTGAGAGGGAGACTGTTTAAAACCGGGATCTCGACGATGCTACAAGAAACCTTTGTGTTGTCAGGAGTCAGGTGTTGACCTTTCCCATCTCCAGATCCTGAAGTGTTTATCTTGCATGGAGAGAGCAATTGATTGTCTCTTGAAGAGGAGCTGACATTCTAACTATATTATCTTTGATATATATGTACTCTGGGGATTGACCACACGAGAAAGTCAGATGTTGTGTTTAAAGGGCAGGAGAGGATAAGCCAGAAACAGGGGCACTGAGGTCTTTTGTCTTCTGACCTGCCAAATTATCACGTGTGCCCACAAGAGCTGAGGGCTGTATTTGCTGCTGGTGGGTTTGTATCCTCAAATGAGATCACCAGAAAGAACCAGAAATTGAGTCCTGTGCAGCCAGGTCCTGGGATGTTTGAGTCACACTGAGCAGCTGATGGAGAATTAGTGCATCAAACCATTCCAGAGCCATACCTGCTCTCTGACCTGCTCTCATCTTCAAGGTTTAAATAATAAATGTTAAAATAAATAACTCAGATAAGTTTGGCATTAAAACCAGCCAAGCAAAAGTAATTTCTGCTGCTGCAAATAGGAACATTCTTTAGTCTTACAGGAGGTTTAGCAGCTGTGCAGCCTCCCTCAAAGCTGGCAGAGCAGCAGTGATTCAGAGCCAGGGGAGTGTTGTTTCCTCCTCTGGAAGTTGGGTCATTTTGCTCCTGGAATGTCATGGGTGATGCCTGCCTGTGGAAAGGCCAACACTGTGCTGGTCTGAGGGGAAAAAAATGCTCCTGTGGTCTCACCCTGGGGCTCCAAAGCAGCCCAGATTTTGGGGTGTAACGTTCTGTTCTCGTGGAGGCCACAACTGTCCCCCCTGAGATGGGCAGAGGTTTAACCTGTGCCAGGAGACAGAGGCATGGCTGAGGTGGGATGGGGTTTATTTTTGGAGAAGAAGAGTTCTCTGACACCCATTGTAATCTACGTGGGATGTGGGGTATTAGCTGATCTTACTTTGATAGTGCTGTAAGCTGGTCTTTGATAATTGCTTTCTGTAATTGGAACAAATTTCTGATTATGCTAATTTGGCTGCTGCTGCCACCCAGCTCGGAGGGGCTGAGTTAATCCCCATCTGCCCCTGCACTGCCTTTGCAGATCATTCCCTGATTAGCCTTCCTAAGAAACGATGGGGGTATTTTAATTCTGAGCAGATTGAATTTCAGGGGAAAAAAACCCCAGATATCTTTATACAAACTTATGGTATATTATAGCAAGTTTTAAGTCTGGTTCAATATAGAAACATTTAAGATCTTCAGATGGACTAATTCTTAAAAAGAAAAGGATATAATTCTGTTACAAGCAGCTGTGTGACCTCCACTGGTGACAAAGGAAAGGGAGTTAAATGCTGATGAGTTTTGAGTTTGCTCTTCAGAGGTTGCAGTTCAGGACCCTGCTGCTCATTTCGGTGTGGAGACATTGCAGATGCTTTGTTGCCTTTATTTTCCTTGCTTGGTTTGTGTGTATTTGTGTGGGCTGGATTCTCCCAAAGGTCACATCCCTGCCAGTGTCACCCATCTTTTGTCACCACGAGCCCTTTAAATTTATCCATTCATCCCAGAAGTTCATCCCTTAGTTCTCCATCTTTGAAAGCACCCCCCTGCCGAGGCAAAGGCAGGGAATGGCTCGGAATAAGGCTGGTTTTCTTCAAGGGAGGGGAAGGCTGGAGTGAGGGGAGTGCTGGCAGTGCCATCCACTCTGGATGAGAAGGAGAAGGTGCCGTGTGTCCCCTGGAACAAACCCTGGTTTGATCTCACGTCTCAACACTTTGGTGTTTATGTTCTGCCTGTTTAATGTTCTCCCTTTGCTGTGATCATCATTCCTCTAAAGGCTTTGCTTTAGTGTCAGTGTTTTTCGTTCCCCAAACCTCTCAGTCCCAGCAAACACGGGGAGCAGTGTGTGCTCCCTCCTGGAACAGTGACAGGAATGGGGTCACTGAACCCTCCTGTCCCCAAAATCCCTGCCCTGATCAGAGCCAACATGCAAAATTCATCAATGCACTCGTGACACAGTGAACTCTGGGAGTGCTGGACGTGTTTGTCACTGCTCTGAACATTTCTCTGCACATAAAGTGCTTTCGGTTCTGAGCGCAACCATCGAGTTTCTGTCACTTGATTTATGCTCCTGTGGCTGCTCCGTAATTTAAATTGCATTCCTAATTTCTGTGCTGAAACCCCCTTGGACAATTAGGATTACAGTTAACTGCAGAAGGGAGGCTGAGCAGCAAACAGATTCCTTGGTTGTTCCGTGCCTCAATGTGCTCCAGGAGATGCTGCTCAGGGAAGGGTTTGGCACTGCTGGCACAGGGGAGGTGTCCCTTGGCTGGGGGAAGGAATGGCAGGGAAGGGAGTCAGAGCTGGGTACTCTTTTACCCAGATGTGTAAAATGATGTGTAAAATCACTGTTTAAGTCCATGGTCCTGGTGTGGGATACCCAGAGTCTTTGCCAGGCGAGTCTCCAGCCGTGGTCCGGGATGGGGGGGATGGATCCATCCCTCCCACACCTCCTGTCCCAGCCACCCCTCACCAGTGATGCTCCTGGAAGGGCAACCTGCTGCCTGGCACAGGCTGTAATTGGCTTTGCTGGTCAGCTTTTGCAGCTTTGTTTATAAACTGGAAAATCCACAAATTGCAGCCCATCTGCGCAGAGCAGAGCGCTAATGAGTGCCTGTAGCTCCCGAATCCATAAGCTCATTACCATGAACTTCCAAGTCCTTCCACAAGTTACTAAACAAGGTTATTCATCTGAACTGAGCTGAGAAGGGTATTTGACTCCAGGGCCCAGCCATAACTCCTTCAGGTCCAGAAAAGCCATTAAAATAACTCACATGTCTTCAGTCTTTTAGTAGAATCAGTTGATTTCGCTTCTATTTTTAATTTTTCACTTCTGTAAGAGCAGCTTGCCATGCCTTAACTATTTGTTTTTAATGTTTCAAGTGGAGAAATGCCTTGCAGATGATTCCTGGGGCTGCTCAGAGACGTGTTGGTCGGTGAACTCGAGAAGATGCGTTGAAATATATTATACACAGCATCTCGTGGTGCTTATGTGCCGTGACAGCAGACATTAATGGCCTCTGTTTTAAGGATGTTTATGGAAATTGGGAATCTGTTATGATGACTTGGCTCTTCCACTGTTTGTGGTGTCAAGCAATTTTGTCTGTAGTGTCACTTCAGTGTCTCTTTACTGACAGTTCAGTGTTTCTCTGTTTCTTCTCAAAAAAATAGAATTAATAATACTTCTTATGTGCCATCCCAGTCTAACGTGAACCTTAACTGACAGTTGGCTGCTTGTTTGACCATATAAAGCACGGAGCACCAAGAGCAGTGCTTAGAAATATTTCTTATTCTCTCTCGGTTGAGATTTTCCTCCGTGTTCTTTGAGCAGAGATCAACCTTTCTGAGTTACCAATAAAATAAAGTATTAACAAGATTAATGAGGTGATTAGCCCAGGTGCTGCTGTTTTGAGAACCTCCTTCATGTTCTGCTCTGCTCCTTCCCCGTGCAGGTGGAGTGGCTGAAGAACGAGGAGCCCATCGACTCCAACCTGGACGAGAACATCGACACCAGGGCCGACCACAACCTCATCATCCGCCAGGCGCGGCTCTCGGACTCGGGCAACTACACCTGCATGGCTGCCAACATCGTGGCCAAGAGGAGGAGCATGTCTGCCACCGTGGTGGTGTACGGTCAGTGCCAGGGCTCACCCTGGGCACTGGGCTCTGGGGGCTCTCCCCGCTGCACAGCCGAATCTTTAACACCCCGAATCCCAGGGCCGTCAGGAGGAGTGGTGGTCTCCTATCCCCTGTGGTGGGATTTGTTGCTGGGTGTCTCCTGCCCTCCCTGGCCCGGCCTGAGCCCCGTTCTGTGGTTTTGTTTTGCAGTGAACGGGGGGTGGTCGTCGTGGACAGAGTGGTCCAACTGCAACGCCCGCTGTGGTCGGGGTTGGCAGAAACGCTCCCGGACCTGCACCAACCCTGCCCCCCTCAACGGGGGGGCCTTCTGCGAGGGCATGTCCGTGCAGAAGATCACCTGCACCTCCCTCTGCCCCGGTGAGTCCCCACTGAGGGTGTCACATTGGCTGGGACGGCTTTTGGTGCTGGGCAGAGCTGGGCTTTGAGAGGAAGGAAGGGGGAAATACAGCCCTGCTCAGGCTGGAGCTCAGAGCCCAGTGCAGCAGCAGTGACAGGCACCTGTGGCTCCTTGTCTATGCTGTGATTTACACTGACAGAACCCTCAACAACGAACCAGCAACTGGCTCAGAGTGAGAAATCCTGTAACTGGGGGGGTGAGAATCCTGTAACTGGGAGAAATTTGCTTTCAAGTGTTTAACGCGGGGTTATGGGGGAGAGACGTGGAACAGGCATTCCCGTGGGACCTGGAACCGCAGCAGTGCTGGTGCTGACGCTGGTTTTCCTTCCCCCCCCCGGCAGTGGATGGCAGCTGGGAGGTGTGGAGCGAGTGGTCTGTGTGCAGCCCCGAGTGTGAGCACCTGAGGGTCCGCGAGTGCATCGCTCCCCCCCCCCGCAACGGGGGCAAGTTCTGTGAGGGGCTGGGCCAGGAGTCAGAGAACTGCACCGAGGGGCTCTGCATCCAAGGTGAGCTGGCACCGAGCTGGGGTGGCCTGGGAGCGGGGCTGGAATGGGAATGTGGCACCTGCTGTGACGAGGGAGGTGGGTCCGGGGGGCCGCGCGTGCGGAGCTTGGGATCCGCGGTGGTTCCGGAGCCGCCGGGTTTGCCCGGCACACGCTCTGCCCAGGAACGGTCAGATGACTCCAAAAATCCAAGCACGGGGGGTCTGCAGTGTGTAGCTGTGGCCCCCACAACCTGGCCCATGGGATGTGCCCCTCAGCCTCCTGCCTTTCCTTGCCAGTCAACGGGCAGGGCACCGACAGGGAACTCCTGGTGCAGGAGCTGCTCGAGGTCACAGTTTACTCCATTTGTTGCCTTTAAAGCAGGAGTTAAATACAGGCAAATCTGCAGCTCCCTGGGAAAGGATTTGCCCTTCATGAATGTCTGGAAAGCATCTGGCACTTGGTAGCTGTTACTATCAACAAACAAGTGGGAGCCAGGAAAGGAGCCCTGCAGCTGTGGCAGGGCTGTGCAGGGAGGAATTGGCACCTTCATTCCAGCCCTGAGCCTGCTCCCCGTCCCTGTGCAGGGACTGTCACCTTGCCAGGGGGAATGGCAGCCGTGGGAGCAGTCAGGAGTGCCAGGGCTGAAAGATGTGAGCAGGAATAAGTCTGCTTTTGCTTGATTTTATATTTAACTAGTCCCCTGTCTTTGTTTCTGTGGTCCTATGTTGCCCTGAACTTTCTTTTTTGCCCTGAGATTTGAATATTTTCCTGATGGCAGAGAGCATCCTGTGTGTTTATTCAGGCTTCAGAAATACTTCCACCTGAGACCTTAGATGAGATCTGGTTGGGTTTTGGTGGGAGGGGGTACCCAGCACTCCTGCTGTTTGTCTCTCCTTTCACTCTGTGATCACTCGAGGGTCAGTCTGGCCCTTCTCAGGGGTCACAGGATGGTGCTGAGCTTGTTGCTTGTTTCTCAAGACCACTGTGATATTTACTGCTAATTCCAGCAGTGCATTCCTAGGAGCTATTCTGGGATAAAGCCCTCTGAAGCTTTATTATATAATCAAAGAATCCACAGGCTGGTCAAACGAAATGAGAGGGAGAGGGTCTGTGTGTTTGGGGTTCTGTTCACAGACGTGGCACCAGGACAACGTTATTTTACTTTTTTTATTTTTTTTTTTTTTTAATCATCTGGTGTCTGTGTCCCCTAAAGCAAGGCTGGTTTTCATGGTAAGAAAGATAAAAGCTGCCTTGTAAAATTCCCAGAGGGGAACTCTGTACGTGTCAGTGCATCCCTCCATCCCTGTGCCTTTGTCTGGGTACCCAGGGGAGCTGGGGCAGCTCTGCCCTCTGAGCTCTCTGGGTTTCAAACATCTCATCCCCTCCTCTGGCTGGGCCAGGCAGTGCCAGGGAGTGTCCTGTGGAATCATAAAATCATGGAATGGTTTGGGTTGGAAGGGACCTTAAAGCTCATCTCGTTCCACCCCCTGCCACGGGCAGGGACACCTTCCACCAGCCCAGGTTGTTCCAGCACCTCCATCCCTGCTCCAAAGGCTGTGTTTCCATATGGATTCAGCTGGACTGGAGTGTTCAGTGTCTCCTGGTTCTTCCCCCACCGAGTTTCTCCTTTATGGGTCGAGCTGCACGGGTGTACTTGTGTCAGATTATTTTTAGGACTGTAATTGCTTTCTCAGCTAATAGGAATTGATGCAATTACCCTATTTTTTAAAAATCTTTTTTTCCCCCTGCTCATCTTCCAATATGTGCCTTTCCTGCTCTGCCTCTCCTCCCGTGGGGAATCGTGGAGGAAATGCAGCTCTGTGCTGCAGAAAACTAATCTTTTGGAGGTTATTTATCAGGCACAACTTGTTAACTTTGTTCCTTTCGTGAGGCAAAAATAGAAATGAGACCTTCCTTTGGTTAACCAATAAGAACTGAAATGAAAAAGTGAGGATGAGAGTGGAGGGTGCCAGGGAAGCATCGGGGGGACCCTGAGCTGGCAGAGGAAACCCTGATCCTTGGGATGGATGTTGGAGTCGAGGAAATGGGGATAAAGCAGGGGCAGCCCTTGGGTTCTGTGATCCCTGACAGGAGGATTTGGAACATCCCTGTCCTCCCTTTGCTCCTTGATGCTCTGGATGGATCCCGAGGGTCCAGCCCTGGACTGAGGAGCAGTTGGAAGTGCTTTCCTTCCAGGGAATTTCTTCTCGCCCTTGTAACAGTTGGATAGATGCAAACTTGGGTGCAAAGGAAGAATTGTCTGGGGATTGATCCATAGCAAAGATTGCCAGGGCTGCCAGGCTGGGAGGGAAATGGGGACTGACTCGTGCAAAGGTGCCTTTGGCTCCACACAGCCCCAGTAACTCACTGGTTTCCTGCACATTTGTTCTTCCAGTGTTTATTCCCTCCCAGTAGTTTCCTTCTCCATGGTGGAATTCTCTCTTGCAGAGGTGAAAGCTTTTTCTTTGCCTAATAAAAGAGAGGGGTGGTGTTTTTTTTGTTGTTGTTTTACTTTTATCTGTTCACTTTAAAGTTGTTTTTTTTCCCGACCTTCCAAACCTATCGATTTCTTCTCCCAGCGCCCAGAACACAAACAAACACTTGGGCCATAAACAGCCCGACCCCAAACGTGTGTTACTGATGCAGCAGAAATCCCAGAGAAATTCACTTCCCATTTTCCAACCAGCCCTGGGTTCCTTTGTCAGGCTTTGGGTTATAAATGGTAACTGTAATTATGACAAGGGAGACAGAGAAGCCTCATTTTTGAGAGCTGCAGTCCTGAGAAAGCCAATTTTATCCTATATTTGCATATGTATGGTGGTACACTGGTTCTGTATGTTCTTATATGCACATATAGATGTGATTATTGGGGTGTGTTTAGGTGCATAAATATGGATATACTTTACATTTTTGTATTTTACGAGTTACTTTTAAGTATCCATCACTCACCTTCCCATATATCAAACACACAGAAGTCATTAATTCTGAACTGACTCTTTGCCAAGTGATCCACTGCAAAGTATTGAACTTCCTTCTTGCTGAGATGTAAATAAATAACAGCAGCCAATAGAGCTAATTCAAATACTCGAATTAACCAAGTGAGAAATTACTGCAAAGAAACATCCTGAAAGGGATTTAGAAAAAAATAAGATGAAGAGAAAAATATGGACAACATAAAATATTCATATTGTCAGCAAACGAGGAGAAAATGTTTCATTTATAGAGTGAGACAGAAGCAATATAGGAAATAGATATGCTCCATATAAATTTATTAAGTGCAACTTTCTCTCTCTCTCTCTCTCTTTCTCTCTCTCTCAGATAAAAAACCTCTTCATGAAATAAAATCCCAAAGTAAGTTGTTTTTTTTCTCTTGTAAATATGATTTTTCTCATCTTCTCTGCCATTTGGTTTATTTGTTTAGGATCTAAGTGCCACGGAAGGTTTTATAAAAGGCTTTAGCATCTGCTGAAAGCGTCTTCTGAGCACCTCTGTGATCATAGGCTTTGGTCTAAAACCAGAGAGGTGATCACTCCTTAGCAATTTGTGTCTGACTGGGAGCTCTGCCTGCAGGAATGCTTGTCCTGGGATGGATCTCCTGAGCCCTTCTGGTTAGAAAAAAAAGGAATTAATAGAGGAGTTTGGTTTTCTTGCTCCAGATCCGGTTCCACTCCTGGCTCTGACCTTGCTCAGCTCCCTCCAGCCTTCCTGTCTCACCTGCTGAGGGGGTTCCCGTGTCCAGAATGTCTGGTCACCCTTTCTGGGGGTCCCTGTCCTGCCCCATCCCTGCAGCCCCAGCTGGGGGTCTGGGCTCTGCCCCAGGGAACAGGGGATGGGATGAGAGGGAACGGCCTCAGGCTGCACCAGGGGAGGTTCAGGTGGGGTATTAGGAAAAGCTCTTCATGGAAGGGGTGGTCAGACATTGGAAGGGGCTGCCCAGGGAGGTGGTGGAGTCCCCAAACCCATGTGGACGTGGCTTGGTGGTGACCGTGCTGCTGGTTGATGGTTGGACTTGGTGGTCTTAGGGAGCTTTTCCAACCTTAGTGGTTCTGTGATTCCATGATTTTTGCATTCCTGGCTCTTAATCATTTGTCTTAATCCACTTCCCAAAGTGGAAGTTAGGGAGCTCAGAACCGTGCTGGGGTTGCCTTGGCTGCCTCAGCATTTTTGGGTTTGGCCTGTCTGTGTCTCCTCGAGTCCTCCCCTGCTGGTCCCTGTGGCCAGGCTGTGCCACAGCTTGTGTTCATCTGTGCACCTCCCCTTTCATGGAGCATCTTGAAAGAATACCAGTGAAATCACTTGATTTTCTGATTTATTTAAAAGCAGCTTTAATGGAATTGATTTTAGCCCAGGAGACACCTGGGGAATGCAAGGGCTGTGTTGGAGCTGTGGGCTGGAGACATAAAACACAGCTCGTTGCTGTTCAGCAGAACAGGGCCTTGGTCCAGGCCTCCATGACTCATCAGTGATGCAAAATCAAAGCCAATTATGAAGATAATTGAGAAACAACCTGTTCTACTCAATAACCTCTCACACCAGTCTCTGACTTGTGCTCCTGGTGCTCCAGGACTGGCTCTGGGCGGGAACAGAGCCCAGGCTGGGCTGGGAGGGAGGGATGGAGAGCAGGGAGCATGGGCAGGGCTGGGGCTGCAAGAACCTCTCAGATCTGCTCCAAACCCTGCTGGTGGAGGGGGAAGGGTGTGCCCTGCACAGCTCCTGGAAAGCACTCCTTGTAAATGAGATAATTTAATCAATTACTGTTCCTAATGTACTAAACCGAATGTTTCATTTTCTGCTCCTGCACATCTTAAATTATCTTCAGGTGCTTTATGAAACTTAATCATAGTTAATAGAAACTTCATTACCATCAAATGTGCTTTCAATAAATGTTGTGTAACAGTGTCAGGAGGTGGAGTGAAAAATAGGCTGCAATTACCACAAACATGGATCCTGGAACCCAAATGGATAAAAATCATGGTGCTTTGCCAGAGTCCCTCCCGGCTCCGGGCTGGGAGGATGCAGCTCATTAAATAGTAATTGGTTGGCTATAAATGTTTTCTTTCCTAGTTTGTTTGTTTTTCACTTTGTTCCCTTCTGGGAAAACATAAAAGCAGAAACTTCCCCCCCTCCCCAAATTTCCCACGCTGTCCTTTTTTTCCTTAATTTCTAGTCTTCCACGAGAGGAATTCTCTGTAAGAAAAGAGAGAAAGATGAAGAGATTAAAATTACTTTAAAAAGCCAGCAGTTGTTTCTAAAGAAATACTGACATCCTAAATCAAGAGGGAAGTCTTCCTTCTCATGGGGCTGCGTTCCATGGGAATAATTCAAGGAATGCCATGTCCCTCTTGCTTTGCTCTTTTAACAAAAAGCTGTTTGAAAATCTGCTAAACCCTGAAAAGGAGATCCTTGGCCTCTGGGCTCTGTGTGTTGCTTGGGTTTTGTGGTGGGTTTTTCCCCTTGCAGGGGAACAGTTTTGGGAGCACCTGAGTGACCCTTCCAGGTGTTCCCTGGAACAGAACCACGGTCATTGTCCTAAAGAAAAGGAAACTCAGAAAGAATAACTGTAAGAGGCTTTAATCATAGAGTTTATAGAGCAGTGTCAAAGTCAAGTTCTGGGCATACCCAAAAGTATTCACCAAAAAGAAACTTCTCAGAACAATTTTGCTTGTTCTGGTTGTTTTGAATTCCGTGTTGTCCCTCTGCTCTTTAACCGGGTACAAAGTTATAAAAGTGGAGGTAGAAAAGGTAATTCAGATTTTCAGCCCTTTCCTGCTTTGAAGTAATGCTCAAAATGGAAGCCCTAAAGATGCTCTGTGGTGCAGTAACCACAACTCTCACTCTGCAAAGAACCCACTTGCTGCTGGGTTTCTCCTCCCCCTGGGCATCCATCACATCCCTTCTATTGCCTCCTTGTTGCACTCATTACCTGCCAAAATTATGTCAACAATAGAGTCTCATAATTAATTCCCTGTAACAACAGAGCAACTTGGGAATAGTAAACTGGAAGAAATAGAAGTGTAATCAGTGTCTGTGCTTCCCTTTCTGCACCTGATCCTGGAGAGTAAAACCAGTGTGGGATTGAGGCTTTGGACTGGGGTTTGGGTTGTCTTGGTGTGACCCTCTGGGTTTGTGTTTCCTTGTCCTGTCTCCCATCTCCATCCTCAGTCTCATTTTACACTGTCAGCTCCCAGCTGACTCTCTGCAATTCTCAGCTGCACCAAAAATGCTTAAAATTCTCTTGACAACATTTTTCAAGGGGGGGAGGGGGTCTCATGAAAAAAAATGCTTCAGGAAAAAACCTTTCTCTCTAGTAATTGGTTCAGTAGAACAGTGTGGCAATTGAATTGTTCTGAGAAGTGGGATCAGAGCTATTTTTAAGTTTATTAATATGATTTCCCGTCCTGACCTGCCACAGAAGGTGGATTTCTTCTCAAAGCTGATATTTGCAGGCAAATTTCACGATTAATTTTTTTTTTTCCCCTTTTCAGCAAGTTGTGAACGTGTTAAAAGCAGGACCCTTTTCAGTCTGAGGTTATTTGGAGATGCAGCAGAATTTTCTTGGCTAAATAATGGTTCTCATAAAACTGATTCCAAGGCATTTGTTTTGGGCTGAAGGGGGTGCTGGGTTTCCTCTGCTGCCTCGGGTGAGGAACAGCCTGTGCTCAGCCCCTCCCCAGGACGTTCAGCTCGGGGTGTTGTCGCTTGTCTGACGCTTGTTTTGCATCCCAGGGAGGTGCCAGGCCGAGGAAATGCTGCTGGAGGTGCTCATTTCTTTCATTGCTTTCATCCCAACCCTTCTGAAGTTCCGGGATCATTTTAAAAAGCTCAGCTAAAATAGAGTTATCTGACTTTCCGCAGGAAAGTGCAAGGCAAGCCTCCTCCCAAACAGTAATTAAGTAATTTCAGTAATTGGCTATTTATTAAACGCTGATTTTTAACTTTCCGCCCTATTTCTGTGCAGTGCAGCTCGTTTAAGGGTTCTGAGCAGTCTGGATTCCCCAGTTATTTTTTTTGTCGCTGTCATTTGCTGTAAATAAATGCAGTTTGTGTTCCTGGGGCCTCTCCCGTGCCAGGAGGAGCCCCCCCAGCAGGGAACAGCTGATGCCCAGGGTGAACTCGTGGCTCTCTGCCCCCAAACTGGAGCTGGCATTGAGGGAACCGTCCAAGGACCCACTAAGGGCACTTGCCAAGTAATTTAATTTCATGCTACGCTGTCCCAAATCCCAGCAGACCTGGAACAGCAGGGCTGGATATTTCAATTATGGAATATTGCAGTCTTCATTTGGATCCGTTCTGGCAGAGCAAGGGATTCTTTTTCTCTGCTGTCAGAGTTTGGAGTCGTAGAAAACTTGGTTGTGGGTTCGTGCGTGGGCACAGCCACGGGGAAGGTTCAGTTTCCAGCCTGATTTTAAAGGCTGAAGGGGCTCCCAGGGATGTTTGGGGGGTCTCCTCAGCCCCTCCCTGAGCTGGGGCAGGATGGAGTGTTCCTTCCTAAAGCTCACACAGCAAGGAGGAGGAGAGGGAAATCTGCACTCGGGTTCTTCAGGGGATCCATGACCTCTTGGGTTAGCTCCAGAATCCAAACCTAGAACTTGCATGTCCCTGGAAGAGCCAGCAGGAGATGAAAGCCCTGCCGAGCCCTCCTGGCTGCAGCTCCTTGTGCTCCCTTTGAGGGCTGAGTTCCACACTCGAGTGATCTCCGGGGGACTGGAGTGGGAATCGATGGCCCAGCTCAGCCAGGAGCTCAGAGGGACGAGCTCTGCTGCTCTCACAGCCCAGCTCTCCCGTTGTAAAACCTGCAGGGGCCACGGAGGCCCCCCTGAACCAGAGGAATCTCTGCTGTGTGCAGTGACCCCTCAGGAACCTGCTCCTGCTCCCGGGTGGTCGCTCCCCAGCGCTCTCCGTGCTCCCGGGACCTGCTCCCTGCCGGCATCTCCCGCTCCTCTGTGGCTGCCCAGAGCCCCCCCTGCTCCTTCCAGCCGACACTCCTGACCCTGTGCCCTCTTGTTCTTCCCCCAGATCTGGAGACTGCCAGTGACATCGCGCTGTACTCGGGGCTGGGGGCAGCAGTGCTGGCCGTGGCCGTGCTCGTGGTGGCCGTGACGCTCTACAGGCGCAGCCAGAGTGAGTACGGGGTGGGGGGGTGCCATTGATTCCTTCATTGATTCCTCTGCGCTCCCGGGAGGCCTCCAGGCATTTCATTTGAAGGCAGTCAGACAAGGTTAGTGCCGTGGTTTCGTGTTTTCCTTCCCCCCAGAGCTCCCACTGCATGCAGACACTCGGGGAGGGCGTCCTGCAGGGACAGGACCTGGTGGTGGGAGCTGCCTTTGCCACTGCCCTGCCCTGGCAGCTTGGGCAAACACAGAATCCTTCCTGACCACGCTCCAGAGGCTCTAGAAACCCTGTCCCCAGCTTTTACACTGACTTAGGAAAAGCCCAGATTGAACCAAGTCAAAGCAAACCCAGGCAGCACTGTCTGTGCTTCCTTCCTAGTCAGGAACTTCTTCTTTACTCCAGTAAGAGTGGTTAGTTATTGATAATTTGAGAACTGATAGTTAGCTAGTTAGTTACTGATAATTTCAGAACCCCAACTTGCAGGTTGTAGCACTGAGGTCTGTGGGAAATAAATGGGTGTAAAAACCCCCTGAAGCCCCAAAAACCCCCTAAAGCCCCCAAAACCCCACCAGTGCCATGAAACGTGGACAGAACATTGAGTGAAAGCAGCTCTGGTGTTTTCTGGAATGTTATTTCCTTTGGACAGACAGGTGGGGAGGGACAGGAACGGTGATGAAAACAGAATGTTTCCTGGTTCTGTTCTGCCATTCTCCCCAGCCCGGGCTGCCTGCAGTGGGTGGTGTGTTGGTGGGGTGTGAAAGCAGCCCCATGTCTCTGTTCCCTCTGCAGAAAAGGGAAATATGGTGCAGAGTTTGTTTGGGGCCTTATTTTTTTTTTATGTTGTTGTTTTTACAGTTTCTTTCTGTCGTGGGAGACATCCCTCACCGAGCAGGAGTTGCAAGGCACTGGGAAAAGGGCTGGGTAGACAAGGATGTTTGAAGGAGGTTCAGTCATTCACTGCTGAACCCAAGCCTTTAATTAGAGCTGTGCAGTTCTCAGTGACTCTCACACGGGGACTTTTCCTTTGTGGTTCAGTTTAAATCTTGTTTTGAGTCTGGACAATTGTTCATTTGACCCAGTGTTTAAAGCCATTAGTTCTGGATGCTCTGAAAATACCTGAGCACACCAATCCCTTAACTTATTAGTTCAGTTTCAGTAACTTTGGGTTCTCTGTCTGTGGGGCTTTTAAATGAGAGTATTTGTAAACTATACAGCAGAAAAAAAAAGGCCAGTTCTCTGTTCAGTTTGCTGAGAAAAGAGAGCCCAGTCCTGACCAATGGGCAACAGATTAGTGTGATCCAAACTTTATTCTTTGGAGAAATGTGTTTATAGTGTTGGCAAACTATCCTGCAGTCCTTTAAAAGGGATCAGGTTTTCAAGGATCCAGTATAGATAATTTCCAGAAAAATAGTTACCTTGGAAAACTTGGATTTACAAAAACTAAGCAACCGACTGAACAAAAAAATCCTGCCACAAAACCAAACAAGAAAACCAAACAAAAAAGGATTCGGGCCCTAAATCCATCCATTCCATTCCTTCCCTTTTTTTTTCAGAGTGTTCTGTGAGCTTAAAGGCCTCTAAATGAATAACTGTGGTATTTTTCCCCCTATTACTCTTGTCCCACTTTCTTTTCAGCCTGGTTCCCCTCAGGCAGGAAGTTATCATTTGGTGTGAGCTCACAGAAAAGGTCTGCAGGAAGCTCTGCTTTCACCCGGGGGGGTTTGATGTAAGGGGGAGAAAAAAAAAAACAGAAAAACCAAGAAAGGAAAAAGGCAAACACACAAACTCGAATCCAAGACAAAAGGAAGCTCCTTCTTGGGTTTCTGCACTCTGGAGCTGCCTGGAGTGTGGAAAACAGTGATGTTGGAGCTGCTGCCTGATGGGGTTTTGCTCTTTAATGTTGCCTGATGTGATTTGGAGCTCAGAGAGCGTGAGGAAGGAGGAGCAGGTCACTGAGCAGACGGGGAGGGCTCAGGAAGGGGCTCCCGAGGGGACATTCCCGAGCAGTCACGAGCTCCCTGCTCCTCCCACAGGTAACTCCCTGCTCCTGAACTCCTCCATGCAGCCCGACCTGACCGTGAGCAGGACCTACAGCGGCCCCATCTGCCTGCAGGACCCCCTGGACAAGGAGCTCATGACGGAATCGTCCCTGTTCAACCCCCTGTCCGACATCAAGGTCAAGGTGCAGAGCTCCTTCATGGTGTCCCTGGGGGTGACGGAGCGGCCGGAATTCCACGGGAAGGCTCATCCCGGGACCTTCCCCCACGGGAACGTTCCCCACCGAGCCTTTGGGACCGTGCAGGGCAGGAACAAGGCCGTGTACATCCAGAACCTGGCCTCCATCTCCACCTCCAGCGAGCTCAGGACCACGGCCCTTTTCGGCCACCTGGGGGGTCGCCTGGTGGTCCCAAACACAGGTGGGTGGATCCTCCCTCCTTCAAAGCACGTAAAAGAATTATTTCAGATGAGCCTGCCTGGTGTAGTGTTTTATAACTAAGTTTTTTAAAAAAAAAAAAAAGGCGAGGAAAGAAGAAGTGGGGGCTCCCTTTAATGCAGATTTTGGGAAGTAGGGCATGTTGCCCACACAGGAGATGAGTGATCAGAAGAAAGCCTGGGATGAGGAGGAAGGAGGCATTATGCCTATTTGAACTGTTTTAAATTACTGCCTCTCTTGAAGTCTTCAGCATGAAAGTCACACTAATCAAAGCTGCTGCTTGCTTGGATGCTGATCCAAGGGAAGGGCTCCCCGGGAAGGGGGTCGGTGTTGGATCAGCATCTCATCTGATGGGCTCACATTCCAAGCAGCCTCTCCAGCTCCCAGTGCCAGGCTGGTGCTGAGCCCGGGGTCAGCAGCACAGGAGGAGCAGCCAGCCCTGGAGAGCAGCCCCTGTGGGGGATTTTGGGATCAGCCCCTGCTGCCTTCCTGCTCTGCTCTTCTCTCAGCATCAAAGCTGGGCGGGTTCCCAGAGTGGGGCACTTCAGAGTCAGCAGCATCCTGGGGCTGGGCTGGGCTCTGAGGTGCTCAGTTCACATTGCTGGAGGAGTGGAGTTTGTTTTGTGGCTCCAGAGTTCTGTGAGATGTGTTTTAGATGGACAGAGCTGTTTGTTGAGGCAGCTGAGCACACCCAGCAGCAGGTTGGACTGGAGGAGAGGGTGTTCAGCCCCCAGCCCTGCTGGACCACGTGGCTGCGTTTGCACCTTGCTGGAGAAATTTCCTTTTCCAAAAAGGCAAAGGGAGCAGAAAAAGCCAGGTACCCCCCTTGGCACTCAGGGCTGTCACCATCTTTGAAACTCTGGTGAACTTCACTCACTCTAAATTCAACTGTTCTCATTTCCCTGGTGTGTCCAGGCCTTTCTCTTGCTCTCTGGTCGAACTGAATGATTCAGAGCTTTATCCTTCATGTTTCATCAAATGGGCACTTCAAAGGTTACCATAAAAAATGTGGTTTGTGTTTAGAGAAGATTGATAGCAATGTGCAGGTGAGGGATGCACCACTAGTGCACAATCATGCACAACACATGGAGAGTTTTAATTTCCTCCCAGATTGTTTTTATGCTCAGGAATGAACGTTACAGAGGCACTAAGTCAGTTAAGGCATAAATTAAGAATTCCCTCACGCTGTATATTTAGCTACTTTATATAATGGTAGTCCCATCAATTAGATTATTTAAATATGTATTTGGTCCACTTGCAGTTTATGTAATTCTGCCTTTATGTAAGCCCATCCTTGCTGGCCAGTTGTGAATTGTGGTGTGATCAGGTCACTGCTTTGCTGAGGTTCTGAACTGTGTGACATGCAAAGTCAAGCACATCCTTCCTCTCCTGAGGGTGTGACCCAGCAGTTTGATTTCAGTGGAAAGCTTCCTTGTTAACCTCTGATTTTATCCTGGTGGAGAAAAAGGACGATGGGATCACTTGGATTCGTGAGTTACCATGTGTAGGAACAAAAAGGTGATTCCTCATGATCCTGGAATTATCAGCTTTGATTTCAGAGTTGGAAAGGGGCAAAGAGCTTTTGAGAGGCTTTTGGGGGAAAAAGATGTGTTTTCCTTTAATGGAAAAATAATGTCTTTATTTCCTGTAGTAATGCATTTTCCTTTCATCTGATGATGTTGCAATCAGGAGCTCAGTTTTGGAGGAACATTCCTGTGCTGGGCACCTCTGTAGGTGTCCATCAGGGGGTGTGGGGAGTGTTCTTTGCATCCTGTGCCTTTCCCAAAGGGAAGTTCTGCCTTTGCTCTTTTGTAGGAGTCAGTCTGTTGATCCCACATGGAGCTATTCCTGAAGAGAGTTCTTGGGAAATCTACCTTGCCATCACTCAGAAGGAGTCCAGGTGAGAAGATTCTTGTCAGATACTTCATCTCCATAACTCAGCCAGCAGGTAATGCAGCCAGGCATGGGGGCTGAATTCAGATGGGATGAATTCAGATGGGCTGAATCCCTGGACCTGTGCTGGTGGGATCCCCACTGGCTGTCCTGGAGCCCCGTGCACGGACCCACTTTGCAGAGTTCTGGATTTGAGCAAAGGCCCGTCCCTGGTGCCCGTGTGAGTTACTGAGCCTGCTCATCCTGCAGAATATAAATGGGCTTTCGAACCAGGGAGATCACACTCAGTCTGGAAAAATTTATGAGCCTGCCTTTCTTAAGCCATAATTTGTTTTATCTTCGTTACTGTGAAAATATTGTGGATGGCAGCGTTGGAAGGCAGAGCGTGGTGGGACCAGCTGGTGCAGGGAAGCAGGGCTTGCTTGCACACAGCAAGTTCAGTGTTGGATCTGGGTTAAACAAGTTGGAATGTGCTTTGAATCCCAGAATCCTGAGCTGACCAAGGGATGGAGTTAGATGGGCTCTGATGGTTTCGTTCCAGCTCCTCCCTGAGAACGAGCACAGGAATTCCCCTGCTCATCCTTTGCTCTAACAGATGAGTGAGGGGCTAAGACCTTGGCTAAAACAGTTGGAAATTTGCAGTTGAAGTGAGTTCTTGCTGCTGACAGACGTTGCTGCCTCTCCTCTCCCCCCCAGCCTGCAGCCCGAGGGCTCGGCCGTGCTGCTGGGGCCGGAGGTGACCTGCGGGCCCTCGGAGGTGACCGTGAGCACCCCCTTCGCCCTGACCATCCCCCACTGCGCCCACGCCGACCCCGAGCACTGGAACATCCACCTCAAGAGGAGGACCCAGCAGGGGAAGTGGGAGGTAAGGCCAGAGCCCCCCGACAGGGTTGTCCCAGCCACAGTGAACCCCTGGCCGTGCGGGCACAGCTCAGAGACTGCAGCAGTGACAGGCACAGACACACCCGAGGGGAACAGTTAAACCCCGTTTTTGCCCTGCAGCAAAGGGGCAGCTCTGTGATCCACCCCCATGGCTGAAAAACAGCGTTCAGTTTTCTCAGATTTATTTGTAAAAACGTGGTTTTGCTTGATCACAGCTCCCAAAGAGGCTCAGTGTCGGAACAGAACATTGTGTCCACACAACAATCTATCCTGGCATAGAAGAAGTTATAGAAGTGCTTGCAAACAATTTTTAAAAATTATTAAAAATTTAATTATTTTTTTTTAGCGCAGAAGGACCCTCCCAGTTTAAAAATCTCATGTCTCTGGGCACAGCCTTCAGTGACTGAGCTGTGCCCAGAGCCTCTGAAGGATTAGTGCACATTAAACTATTGTGCTTTTTTAGTTGAACATCTACTTCTTAATCCTGCCTGGCTGAGGAGATTAAAGCTTTGTGCGTTTGTAACAGGAGGATTTGGTGGTTTCAGTCTGTCCACTGGCAGTTTTAATGCCATTGGCCACCTTGGGCTGGAGCTGTTTGGGGGGCAGCAATCTCAGGTGGCCTGAACTTTCTGTGTCATTTGGGGAGGCAGACTGAGAACCCTCCTAAGATAAAACACGACCCAACCTGTTACTCAGCATTCCACAAATCCACACAGGATGGAAAGGGAACAGCAGAGCCAGTAACCAGACACAGATCCATAGGCAATGGATTTATTGCACTGCTGCTGCTGGAACTGGTTGGTTCATTGCACTGTGAGGGGGGAAAAATTAGCAGTTAAAACATTTATGGATACAAAATCCATTCCTGGGCTCCATAAACCCCTCTGTGTGCTTCGCCTCCTCTAAACCACTGCGTGGTTTGTTGCTCCCCTTTAAACCATTTCCAGGTCGGGTTGGTTTTCCTGCTTTAGATTTCCTTAGTGAGCTCCATCAGTGTGGGTCCCAAACCCCCTGGAATCGGGGAGGAATCAGCAGATCCCTCCTCTGGTGGGGCTGCAGAGCAGGGCTGAGCCTCAAAGGCTCAGTGGGACAGGGAGATTTTGGATGAAGGAAAAACGTGACTGCAGTGGGTGTTCTGGAAGCCAGTCAAGTCCCAGCTACTGTTCAAGGTTTGCTTATTGAACTTTAATCCTCGAGGTAATTTTTCTAACCTGACATTGGGGGGAAAAAGAATTAGCTGGGAAGTCGAGAGCACTTGAAAAAAGATGCTAAAATTGCTTACACACCATCATTATTATTGTATGCTGCACACATCGGGGCCTGCACAATGCATGGCCATAAATCCTCCTGCTGACTCAGGGCTAAATTGGGAATATTTACACAAGTAGTCCACCATCTCCCCTTCCCTGAGTGAGCAGCCTGGTCCTCAGGAACACTTTGCATTCTAGTTGAATAAAAAATAAGCAATGCAATGACTCCTATTGTCGAGGCCTGTTGGTTTTACTTCATTTTTTTTTTTTTTATTTTCTTTAAACCCGAATTTCGTTTTTTCAGGAAGTGATGTCTGTGGAAGAGGAAACTACTTCTTGCTACTGCCTGTTGGATCCTTATGCCTGTCACATTCTCTTAAACAGCTTTGGAACTTATGCCCTAATTGGGGAACCCATCTCTGACTGCGCCGTTCGACAGCTGAAAGTCGCCGTTTTTGGCTGCCTGTCTTGCAATTCTCTGGATTACAATCTGAGAGTTTATTGCATGGATAACACCCCTTGTGCGTTCCAGGTAAATGCCTTCGCTTTGCTCGCTGGGGGTTGGTTATTTTTGTCCTGTCCCAACAGCCCAGAACTCCACCAAAAGTGACAATATTGGGTTTTTTTTTCAAGCCGCCGCTGCGTGACTTGCAGTGAGTCCCTTGGTTTCTCTGCAGTGCTGTTGCACGTGTGGATTTACACTGTGAGAGCTTCAGGGCAGCCAGACTGGCTTGTCATTCTTTGCCAGGCAGATGGAAAACCAAAATCCCACAGCTCTGCTTCACCCAGCACAATTTTGGGGCTGGGGGGCTGAGCTGGAGCTCAGGCTGCACCCCCCAGGACTTGGAAGTCATTCCCAGCTGATGGAGAGGCTTTATCACACCCCTGAGCTGGCAGCAGTTCAGGATCTCCTCTCCCAGTTACAACTGGAGCAAGAAGAAAGAGGTTGGCTCACCATCTCCTTAAACAAAAATTAAATTTTGGTGCATTTTCCCTTTTGAAAAAAAAAAAGGGGTGAAAAAAAAAAGGACCAATCCCCAGGTGGCAATTGAAATGAGCAGGATTTTTTTAATGGTGTTCCAGGACAAAGCAGTGACATTCACTGGCTTTTGCAGCCTTAGTAAACTCAGAAGCTTTAACAAAATGGTTTTCTTCAGGGAGCTGAACTGAAGACAGTTGTGACATGAATGTTTCCTTCCCTTGCCTCTCTCACAGAGTGGAAACACGGCTCTCACTGGTGTCTGTGTGCTTCTAATAAAAGCAGAGCCACCAGAAGGATTGTTAAAGTCTTACAATGGCTTTGTAATTATACTCTTTATAACACTTACACAATTAGTGGGTACCAGTATCTTCCTGATGAGTCTGTAGAAAATTATTAGAAGAATAATTACCAGTTTTCTGCATGCAGAGGAACGAGAGCAGGGTGTTTGTAGATAGTGAGACAGCTGTGTATATTTACAGAATGACACAGCCCTTAAAAGCTTGTAAATATTAGTGTGAACATGGAGAAACTGAGGGCTTTCGGTGAGGAATTGGAGTTGGGGTCACCAAGTTCTGTCTGACAGTGAATCCTTTGCAGTGCAGTCCCGGATGAGGTACCAAGTTCCTTCATTTTTGACTTTGCCCCCCTGTGAAAACCCACCTTGCTTTTCCAGCAGCTGCCTTTGCCCCCTGGGCAGCTCTGACTTGGGAAGCTCTCCCAAACCCTTTGTATTTTGTCATTTGCTGCAGCCTCGGTGGCACCTGAGGGCTTGTGGCCCACGTGCATCACTGAAGGCAGAGCAGGATTTACAGAACCACAGCACATTAAAAAGGAAATCCAGCACCTTCGAGGAGTTTTGAAAGCAGTCATGAAATAATCCACTCCCCTCGTGGTTGGAAATCAAAAATTAAGCCTCCCTTCTAATTCTCTCCTTCATATAAACCTGACCATGAGGAGTTAAAAGGAGCTGAACTCCTGTAAAAATTGCTCTCTAATAGGAATCCATTAGTACAGTTGCAGAGAGCTCGAGCAGGCATTGAATTTTCAGAAGGTCACAACGATTCCAGGAGCCCTTCTGACAATGCCTTTGGTGCTGACAAGCACTGAACCCCTTCGATGGATCTGATTTGATATAATTTATGTGGATAAAAAGAAGGTAATTTGGAGAGACTGCTTGCCAGCTGATTTTTATAAAGCCTTGTGCAACCTTTCCTTCCTCACTGGTGTTTTTACTGTCTCAGCACAGGAGTAAACATTGCTTAAGCACAGGCAGGGGTGATTTTTTTTTATTTTTTTTTTTTTACTATTATGCTTTAAATTCACAGAATTACATAAAAATGTGGCTGGGAACAGACCTCTGGAGGACTGTAATACAAACTCCTGCTCCAAGTCTGCCCTTCAGACTGCTCAGGGTCTTGTCCAGTGACTCTGAAGAGGCCCCAGAGAGGAGAACTGAGGCTGAATTGTTTGACCTGGTGTGTTCTCCTGGTGGGGGGGGGTGTGTTTGAGTGCTCTGAAAGCCCTGGGAGAGGTTTCCCAGCCAAGCTGCTGTTGGCTCCAGCTGCAGGCACTGCCTTGGGATGTCCCTGTGCCTTTGAGTGCCTTGAACTGGGCTGGGGGTGTATAAACACCAGTGCCATCCCTGGCCCACGAGAGGAACACTCCTGGCGTGCTGTGGGTGACCCAGACACCTCTGGACAGGTGAATTTGGGGTTTATTCCAAATACTGACACAATTCTCTCCTCTGCCCCTGCAGGAGGTGGTTTCAGATGAAAGGCTCCAAGGAGGACAATTGCTGGAGGAACCAAAACTTCTGCATTTTAAAGGAAATACCTGCAGCCTCCAGATCTCAGTCCTTGATATCCCTCCCTTCCTTTGGAGAATTAAACCATTTACTGCGTGTCAGGTACTTGGCAATTTTACCTCTTCAGGTTTGCACTGGGATGGGCAGAACCCAGATGAGGCAGTGGTACCTTCTGTTTTGGTTTAAATCTCTTGGGCATGCAACAAAAATGAGTCAGAAGGCCAATACTCTTGTTAAAGCTTATCACTCCTGAAGATGTTTCTGATACCTGTTATTCCAGTTGTGATACAACTGCCAATACGTGGCTGCAAATGACATTTAAATGTTAATCATGAGTTGAAAGCACAGCGTGCAGATACCAAGAATTAGAACTGAAGAGCTGCAAATTATTTTTTTCTGCACTCCATTAATTAAAGAGGCTGTTGAAAAGCGGAAAGGGAAAATCAAAACAAAGGAAGGATTTCTAAGGATGTGGGTTACTGGGAATCAGAAGTGATGTGCTGGCACATGGAGTGGGCTGGTCTTAAAATACAGAACTCAATTAGACTATATAATCTCCCTTTTCCCAGAAGCAGAGAGACAATTATCTATCATTCAGTATTTTGGCAAAAAACCCCTGTTTTAAATGTGTTGCCATGTTCTCCAAAACATGAGTGTAATGGGCTCTGAAACTTATAAACACAGATCCACAGCCAGATGAAGTCTTACCTCATTAGGAATATAGGGATAATTTATGCTTCAACTTAAAAAGTGAGGGAAACCGAATCATTTTCAGCTTCCTATGAAGAACAGCTTTTAAGTGTTTTGTTTATTCTGCTCACTGAACTGCATTTTAAAAGCCAAGCCACTCAGTAGTAGGATGCCCCACTACTACAGCAAATGCCCACCAGGAGCAGGACGTGCCCAAGCAGTGAAAATCATGGGAGTTTTCTCTGAATACAACAAATTGAGTTGTGCCTCATGGATGGAACACAGCTCCACACTTTGATTAATTTATTGCCTCTTGATCCTCGTCCAGGCCTGAAGAGTAAATGTGTGTGACAGACTGAAATTCAACCTCAAAGTGCTGTTTAGAGTCTGATCAGAGCAGGGACTTGGGGTTAAATGAAAGCCTCTGCAAAACCTCTGCTGCCACAGTGGCTCTTACTGAACCAAAGGAGTATTCCCATTTTATAACTGAGTGTAGTTGGCATGACTTGGCCAGCTCAGGAACACAATAATTGTCTCCAAGAGGAACTGCAGAACCTGCACTGGCTTTGTGTTTCCCCCTCAGTGAGGTGTCTGGTGACAGCTCTGGTTTGGTTCCAGGCTCTTGAGAGATGAAAGGCTCTATTTGTGCCCGTGGAGCTCCTTGCAGGGCTCCCTGGCTTCTCTCCCACGTCCCACCCTGTGCAGGCAGCTGCCTGTGCTGCCTGGGAGGAGCAGAGGGGCCAGAACTGTGCTCCACCAGTGACACCACCCCGGGACAGTGGGATGAGGAGAGAGGTGTGTCAGTGATCCCTCAGCTCGGGGGGATGAATAAGTCCTGCTGTAGAACTGGCTGCAGAGCAGTGGGTGGCAGGTGGTGCCAGGATTCCTCCAGACTCCAAACTGTTTGTTTGTCCTGGCCCTGCTGCAGGAGCAGCTGCCGAGCTCTTGGCTCCCTTCCCACCCCGCTCCCGAGGAACTGGGGGAACCCTTGGGAGCTGGGTGGGTGCTGGAGCAGGCAGGGGCAGCGAGCAGCGTGCTGAGAAACCAGGCAGGCACCTCTGGGGGCTGAAAGCAGCTGTGTTCCCCCCACCTCGTGTCCCTCGGAGGATCCGGGCTCTGTCTGGAGCTGGGAGATGATTTACATTCCCTGTCTCTGCTGGGAACTTAATTATAAAGGCAGAATGAAACTGAAAGCATTTCTGGAATACTTGAACCACTCATCCTTCACCACACGTTGTCCCTCTGTATTGTTTCGTGTGATTCTTTTCAGCTGAGTGATTCTTCCACTCGGGATGAAAGCAGAGATGATTACCCTGAAAAAAAATCTAATTATGGTTGCTCCACTTGTAACTTGTTTTGCTAATGTTTTCTTTATCATTGTCAGTATCTTGCTACTGCTCCCAGCCCAGGATCCAGCTGGGGCTGGAGAAAGGCACAGTTGGGGTGGTTCAGGTGGAGAAGGGGAGGCTGACAGAGCCAGGGCAGGTCTTGATGGGAAGCTCCTTTTTTTTGGATTCTGTAGTACAAGGAAATGGCAGGGAGACACAGAGAAGAGTCAGGGTTCTGATCTCGGTAAGGAGGAGGTGAAGTGCAATAGTTTCAGGTTTTAGATGAGTCTCCCATCATTTGTTTCACTGGATGGAACCTCAGCCTTCAGGAAAGGTGTTTATCAGTGGAATCGTCACAGGTGGGCTTTGTGCTGCCGGGGGCTCGAAGGGATGTGCAGCAGAGCAGCAGGGAGGGGCCCTGGCTGTCTGTGCTCTGTGTGCCGTGTCCCCGAGCCCTGGGCCGTGTCCCCGAGCCCTGTCCCGTGTCCCTGTCCCCGCAGGAGGTGCCGTTCTCGCGGGTGTGGCGTGGCAGTGCCCGGCCCCTGCTCTGTGCCTTCTCCCTGGAGCGCTACAGCCCCGGCACCACCCAGCTCAGCTGCAAGGTCTGTGTCAGGCAGCTCAAGGGCCACGAGCAGGTCCTGCACGTCCAGACCTCCATCCTCGAGGTAAGGGCTGCTCTCACCTGGCTTTGTTCCCTTGCTCTGTCACCTCTCACTAGCTCAGCTGGCTCCAAGCCCCGTCCAGCCTGGCCTTGGGGCATCCACAGCTTCTCTGGGCAACCTGTGCCAGTTCCCTCCCCATTTTTGTCCTTCCCCTCTCTGTGTAGTTGCTGAGCAAAGCTGTGGCCAGTCTATAAAGCCTTACAGGTTCCATTTCCAGCAGAAGTCTAAGCACAGAGATTCTGCAGCACTAAAAGCAGCTCCTGTTCAGGTTGGTGGTTGTGGTTTTCTTGCAGGAAGTTTTGGCAGAGTTTGCAGAGCCCTGGGAGTTGAACACGGGTGCTCACAGTGTCTCCTGGGCACTGGGGCCTTGCTCACTGGTAAAAGAAATCAAACCCATAGTCAAGCAGGCTGGTGATCTGTCCTAGAGCAGTGAAAACCTTGTTGATTAATCCAGATTAGTAGTTCTGGGTTAAAGCTGTCCACCCACTGCTGAATGCTCTCTGCAGAGAATGCAGCAACTGCACAAGAGAACCACAAATACCATCCTGTATCAAAAATCCAGGTGTTTTTCTGGTTCTTTGCTGTTATTTCCTACAAATCTTCTGTTGCTCTCTGTGTGTCTCACTGCAGTGTTGCTGCTGCCTTGTTTTTCCTCTCTCTGGATTTTTTTTTAAGGGTCCCATCCTTACACAAGTCCCTAGAGCGTGTCAGAGTCCTGTCTTCAAACAAATTTGCTGGTACAGAGGGCTTTCTCGTGCCTATCTCCAGCAGTGATTGAAGAGGGAGGATAATTTGACTGCAGAATAAATGCAAACCCAACAACTGCTCACTGAGTTGCTCACTGGGACACAATTCCCAGAGCTGCCCAGGTCGCTGTCGCTTATCTCCCGTGTGCAGGGGATGGAAATCCACTCTGTTGTGCATATTTAACACAACCAGGCAGAGCTGAGGTACCTCCAGCACCTACTGCTGTGCATGGCTGGCTCTGGGGATGTGTCAGAAATGCTCTGTGAAGAGACTCCACCTCTGTCAGTTGGTATTGATGCTGCTCAAAGGGATAAAGCACTGAAATGGGACTCTGGCACACGGGACTGGGACAGATCTACAGAGGGCCTGGATTCCAAAGGGGTTGGGAGGACTGAGGCTCTTGGAGAATTCAGGTGGTTTAAAAAAAATTTTAAAACCAACCAAACAAACCAACAAACTCACAACTGAGAGATTTGTGTGTCCATATTTTTGGCTTAAGCAGTGAAAGGTTTAGAGACCCATCACTGCTCTGTTCGACTCCATCTCTAACACAAAATTACCCAAAACACAAAACTCCTAGAAGGGGAGAATATTACTATTTTAAATGCTTTTATACACGAGTCCTTATGATGTTCTGGGAGCTCCTCCACAACCCCAAAAGCCCCACCTCTTACCTATTTCATTTTCTGCCGGCAATTCTGCGAGCTGCAGGGAGGAACCTCAGGCTCGGGTTTGAATCCAACTTGCTTTGCTCTCCCGTTCCCCGCAGAGTGAAAGAGAAACCATCACCTTCTTTGCACACGAGGACAGCAACTTCCCTGCCCAGGTGGGTCCCAAGGCTTTCAAAATCCCCTTCTCCATCCGGCAGCGGATCTGCGCCACCTTCGACACCCCCAGCGCCAAGGGCAAGGACTGGCAGATGCTGGCACAGAAAAACAGCATCAACAGGTGAGAGAGGGGAGCAGTGACCTGGGAAAGGGGGATAATCGGCTGCTGGGGGTTGGTTGTTTGCCAGGGTTAATTAAGGAGTCATTAAGGGACTCTCAAGTACCTGCTTTTATCTGCAAACAGCTGCCGGGAACAGGAGCTTCTCCCTTTGAAGGGCAGTTCTTTGCTCTGGACACAAGTCTTGGTGAAGTCCAAGACTTCAGTAGGAGGGTTTTGGCACTCTTGTCTACTAAGAAAAAGTTTTAAGAGGCTGCAAGTTCTCTCTCAAAAAAAATTTTTTTAAAAAAAATCCCGTGACCTGTTGTCCTGGCTCCTGCTGATTTGTTTTGGGTTCCAAAATGAATATTGCAGATTTGTTTGTTTGTTTTTTTTTTAAGGGAAACACAGTCATGCTCTGCTGTTAGGGGTAATAATAGTATTATGATTATTAGAACTGAAAGATGCTGTAAAAACCAATTTACTACTTACTTTGCTTCTTCTGCTTGGCTGAATTAAATTGGCAGAGGAAGTTCACTGACAGAAATAGCCATAAATATGTTCCCAGGAGAGCACAGCAATACTTAAATCAAGCAAACTGACTTTCCATTGACTTGTTGCCGTGCATGGGAATCTCCACAAGCCACATCTGAACCAAAAAAAAAGGAGTGTTTATGGTAAACACACTTTCTTTTACCGGATTCTTTGCCAATATCGCCCCTGCAGAGCCCTAAAATCTGCATATTGATAAAACACAGATTCACAAACTAAAAGATGTCAGGTCTTTACGAAATCACAGGCATCAGTTGATGTTATGTAAATCCTCTGCCTGTCAAATCCTTGCTGAATTTCCTAATGGTGCTTTCCAGGCCAGTTTCCTCATTTCCACGGGGCTGGGCTGCAGCATTCCTGGGCTTCAGCACACGCCAGTCCCCTGCTCATTGTCCTAAACCTGGGCAGGGGACACCTGAGGAATAAATGCCCCAGGGTGGGTCCTCTCCAGGGCTCCTCAGCTCAGCCCACCCAGCTGCTGCTGGAGGGTTCTGGGCAGTGGCAGCTGCTCCTCATCCTCTTCCCCCCCCTTTTCCTCCCTCCCCGCAGGAATCTCTCCTACTTTGCCACCCAGAGCAGCCCCTCCGCCGTCATCCTGGACCTGTGGGAAGCCCGGCACCAGCAGGACGGGGACCTGGACTCGCTGGCCTGTGCCCTGGAGGAGATTGGGAGGACACACTCCCAACTCCCCGACCCCCCAGAGCCCGAGCTGGAGGAGCCCGACTTCAGCTACAGCCGCCAGAACGGGCTTTAGTCCCTTCCCACTCCAGAACTCTGGGCTTTAGTCCCTTCCCACTCCAGAACTCTGGCATCTGCCACCGGAGGGAGGAAGGAAGGGGGTTCTCCACCTGTGGGGGGAAACTCCTGTCCCACAGGGCGGTTTGCAGTGGGAGGAGCAGAAGCAGCCCTGCTAAAAAAAAAAAAATCACCTGGTGGTGAGGAAAACACGACCTTCTCCCCGTCCTCCCCTCCTTTCAAACTCACCCGGCAAAGTCCAGAACAAAACCTGCACATCTGTCAGTCCTGGGGCAGGAAGGGGAGAACACAGAGCCGTGGAAGGTAAATGTTCTGACAGTGTATGTTTAGGAACAGTAACGCTGATGTAATGCCCAGTGAAAATCAACAAATATGATGGTGGATGTTTAGAGCCACTGGAGGTTAATCCTGGTTTAAAGGTTTGTCTCTTCAAGAGTGGTTTAAAATCCCGTTTGAGAGCATCACGTTGTCACTTTATGTCTGCTACAGGAAAACTGACAATTTGGCCTTATCCTGTTCAGATGTTTGAGGAATTAGAAGATTCTCGTATTTATTCCATATCATGTGTATTCCAGACCATTTCTTTTAAAAATTCAATCCCTTAATGAATGTACATTTGCTGCAGAGCTTTCCTGCCTGCTCTGTTCCCAAAATTACAGACCAAAACCCCTCTCTGTGAAATTGGGGTGTTGCACACGCAAGAGGAACTTTCTAATTTTCTTAGTTTGCAAACTCTGACTTGGTCAAAAACTGTTTCATTGGGGGGTGGATTTAAATAACCAAATAACACGTGGGAAATTTCCAGCCCTACTTTAGCAAGTTTATACATTTTTTTAATTTTTTTTTTTATTATTATTCCTTCATGTTCTGGGGCTAAACTAAGTGAAGGTGAAGTCAGTCAGCACAGCTTAATTTTGGTTTGGTTTCAAGCTGAAACAATAAACCCCCCGTGGCACTGCCAGAAATGGGCTTGGTTCCTTTGCACAGCTTGGGAATGTCAGGGGGTGTAAAGCTGGCTGGGTTACACCTGGTTTAGCCACAAAATTGCATTTCTCACCCCAGTCAGAATCCAGCTGGAGAAGAATTCGCCTTACTTATTTTACCCATTTCATACAAATCTGATTTCTTACTTCGACCAAACCAAAAAGAGCTGTCACTGTGAGCGAGGGGCCTGGTGGGACTGGTGCTGAGCCAGATTTAACCCCTGTTTTCACTCCTGTCCTTTACAATCAGCCAAGGTGCTCGTTGGGTCAGTGTGGGCGGCAGGAGCACGTTCAGGAGAAAGCAGGAACAGAAAAGAGGCTCCAGGAGCTTTATGGAAAGGAAAGGAACTGAAAAGGGGCATTCTGGGGCTTTTTCACCCTTGTTTTTGGCCCAGAGCTGCACAACAGGCCACAGGGTAGGTACAGAGAGCAAATCTCTTAATAATCTGAAGCTGTTCTTTACCCAGGATTCCGGGTCCCAAAAGTCTGACCAGCAACTCTGGACTTGTTCCTGCTGCTCTGGAACTGCAAATGTCATTATTGCCTTCCCGGCTCAGCAGGCTTGGAATAGTCTGAGACTTATAAATACTGAGACTTCTGCAAAGGTTTTCTGCACTTTAGGATTTCACAGGGCCTGACAGGCTGGTTGCTGTTTGCAGGGGGAGCAGGTTTGGGGCTGAGACACAAAACCAGCTCGTTTGGCAGCAGGCTGTCACTGCTTTTAGCAGCACATGGGTCTGTCTGGGTTTGAATTACATTTCTAGTGACTGCCAGTCCTCCTCCTCAGGAACCTGTTCTTCATTGGACAAAATGCTGGGAATCAGGGGGAAAAAAAAAAAAAAGACCAAAATAAGGAATGGCAGCCAGAGCTGCTGTTGTCTGGGAAACCAGCTCCAGCCTCCCTCCAGCAGGGAATTTGTTCTCAGCTCCTCAGCTCAGAGCTCGGGAACACTGAGACAAACCCAGCAGCTCCCTGGGCTGGGGTCCTCCAAAATCCAGGTTCCCAGGACGTCCAGTGTCTGAAAAGGAATAAATGTTTAACTCTGACAGTGCCAGAAAGGAAACTCCTCCTCCGTGGCCGAGGGCAGGGCTGGCTTTGCTGTTGTCCCTCAAGTTTTGTTCCCTGTTTTTATCTTCACTTTGGCTAAAGCAGCTTCTTTGTTGCTCATCTTAAACTCTGAGAGTCTGATCAACAGCTCTCGAGTTTTTCTGCCTGTTATGGGTTGTTTTGATGCTCTTGTGTTGTTCCAGTGAACCAGAAATGCCCCAATATTGCACATTTCCTTTGCTCTTAAACAGACTTTCTGGAGCTCTGTATACATACATGGGATTTGATCCAAAATGCAGATGTAGAGGAGCACCTGAAGCAGGATTAGAGGCCAGAACCTAAAAATGTATTCCTTTCTTCCATTTTATAAATTATTACATTTGAAAAACAATTTTCACCAACTAGAAGGTAAGAGAAATGTAATTTTGCACACTTTAGGTTCCATCTGGCTGCCCTGAGTCTGATCAGGTGAAACAGCCATTTTGATTTTACATCACCAAAGAATCTGCTCTAATATATTTTCATCGTCCTAAGCACAGGTGCTTCTGTGCTGTGAGTCATTTAAGACTAATAGTTGCATTCTAAAAATGACTTACAGTTGTGTCAGCACAACGTGCAGCCCCAGCTCTGCCAGCCCCAGCACCGTAAAGCTCATTTTGCAGTCTGTACAACCCTGAACTCCCACAAAAATTTTATTGGCCTTTTTGTAATAGATGAAAAGATATCAGCACAATTCCCTTCAAACACGGGGAGCTGGGTTTGTTATTATTTTTGTCTCTGGCAGCAGCTGCTCTCCCCCTCTCTGGGCATCGCTGGCCTGCAGCGGGTTCAGAGAAGCTTGTTCAGCATAAATCACCCAAACATGGATCCTGTAGGACTCCAGGGTATTAACATCACACCACAGGGCCATTCTTTTCTTCCCACTTGTGAGTTTTACCACATTCAGTAACAGATAAATTCCAGAGCATATTTCTCGCCACAAAAAAATCCAGTTTTGTGTGCACAGAGAACTAGAACAGGGGAGGAACTGCTGCTGGCTGCCTGCTCACGAGGTCAAGCTTTTTTTATCCAGGCTGTTTCTGCCTGTAAAACACAGATTTAAGCAAAGGGGCTGCTTAGTTCTTGGAAGGTAATTAACTGAGTGGAAAAACAGGAAATTAGATTTCCAAGTCCTTACCGGCCATGAATGATGTCGAGAGTTCACCTTTCTGGCCTTTCTCTGATTTCACTGATCCCCAGGAATTTCTCCACCTGTTCCCCAGCAGCAGAGGTGGTGGGAATAACTCACTGAGGGCCTTTGCCACGTTAACCCAGCCGAGGGAGCTTTTCCAGGGGTTGTTCATTTCTGGGCTGTGGTTTGGTGGAATTACTCCCTCAACGCCGTCCTTGTTTCAGCAGAGGCTGGAGGCTTTTCCAGGGAGCAGTGAAATGGCACCTCTGCCCCTTCCTGGACAAATAACAGTGGTCTAATTAAAATGACTGAAAGGATTCCTGAGCAAACACAGTAACTTAAACCACACAACACCTGTAGCCACAAACAACACTCAGTATGCTGGCAAACATCACGAACCATTTTCCAGTAATGCCTTTTCTCTCATTGCCAATACCAGCAGAAATGGTAGCAAAAATCTCCTTTCCAACACGAGACAGAAAGAAATCAGTCACTCTAAGATTAAAGACTCACTTGGAGAATTGTTTGGTAGTGACAGTGTCTGCAGTGCAGGAGGCAGGACCAGAGTTCTGCTCCTTGCCACGAGTCAAGGAAAAACCTTTATCCGTACCCGTGTTCACTGTTCTGTCCAAGAATAACATAAGTGTCTAGGAACTTGCCACTATATTTTTTGTATTAGAGGTGAATAGTACAGACTCTACTAGTGTTTCTTGTCTGGGGCTCGGGGGGGGTAGGGGGTGTTGTTGTAATTTTCGAGCTGTTGCAAAAGCTGCTTTAACTGAGCTGTCGAGTTGTCTTGACTGGTTTGTGCTTTACAAGGGCGAGCTGGGGCTCACCTCGTGTCCCGGGGGGGCTGGGGCTAAAGTCACCTGTGAGCCATGGCCAGGGCACAGGGGGCAGCTGGGCTGTCCCTGCCCTGGCCCAGCTGGAGCCCCCCCTCCCGTGTCAGCAGCCGCTTCCTTCGTCCGCCCCGCCGTGAACCCCTGGGTGCAGAACTGTCCTTGTGCAGCCCCCAGGAGATGCCAGACCCCCGTTCCCTGCTCTCTGTACAGAAATCTCGCTGTCCAACCCCGGGTGTGGCACCAAGGGGAGTCAGAGGGTGCCCTGCACCGAGCCTGGCTCGAGCTGTCGTGGCCCAGCGGGAGGGGAGGACACGGATCTCACAGCCAGGGGACCTGCCCTGGAAAGGGGAATGTGCCCTCCCAGATCCTCCCGGGGACCTGCCTGGGGCTTGGGGTTTGCAGTTTAAAACATCTTGACCCTTGGTGCTCCCCACACAGAAGTGTGGAGTATTAACCCTGGGGTGGTGACACCTTTTCACCAATTCCTTCGGTTTTCCCCCCATTTGGGCGCTGAAGGGGGAGGGAGCAATATTTGGAGGTGAAGCTGTAGATCTTTGCATCCTTTCCACTAAAACCCAGCCCCCATCCCTGAACCTCCCAGAGTTCCCTGGCTGCATCCCTGAGCAGTACAGACACACACAGATAAATGCCTCATAGGTTTACTCCTGACATCACAGAATTGGTGACCTGGGAGATGGAGTTGCCCCCTCCCACCTCTTAATCCAATTCATCCCATTCTGATCCCATTTGGTAACCTGGCTCCAAAACCATTAACTGTGCACCTTCTGCTGATTTGGGTGAAGTAAAATTGGACTGGTCAGACTCAGAGCAGTGTTACACACCACAAGAGCTAACAAAAAAAAAAATTCCCATTGCGTTTTCAACTTGGAAAACTTTTGACCAGCCCTTTGGTGAAAAGAGGAGGGGGAACTTCAACCTGATCCCACGAAATGTAAAT